ATGCACTGTTTGTTCTTGAAGAGTATCAAGTATGCCACTGGGGCCTAGAAGGACCTACAGTAGTTACTTGAATACTTGTCCGTAAGCACTTAATTTTATGGGCCAAACTTCAGAATTCTCAGCCACTTACTCGCTTTTTGTTGAATGACAAACTTGCCCACTGTGTGAAGCCCTGTTCTTCTAGCGTTCAGTTAAACTCAAGTTTAGTGGCTGGGAATTCTGATGTTGCTCCAATTTTCATGTACACAAGTAATAAAAATTAAATCGAATTCAGCCTGAATTTAATTACAGTTTTAATGTATCGTTTCTTTCTTTTCACTCGGCTCACAGAGCACTGCAAAACTTAATAGCAGGTTACCTGCTGGAAACTTTCCTAGCAGGTCTGGTTGACTCTTCCAGACTTTTGTCTGGCTACAGTTTCTGCAGAAACTTTCTACGGTTAACAAGGTACCTGTCTGTGATACAGAAAGTTTGGGTTTTGAAAAGAAGCACAAGTGGCAGAACTGAAACAAAAGAAGAAGTTTGGAAAGGAAAACAATTCCCTTCGGTTCCTCTCGAATGTTTTTTCCTTGTAGATCCAACCTGTAAAAAATGATTGAATGATTTTTATTTAATCATAGCATCTGAAATAATAAAAAAACAATAAAAAAATGATTATCATTTTTATTGTTTTTCTCAGGGTGTTGCCAGTTTTTCAACTTGTTGTAAACCTGGCTAATTGTGGATTGGGATTTTATTCTCACATACATCCTGAAAAATGCTTTTTTTATAATTATTCTGTTGATTGCACACATGACAACTTTGAGCCCTTAAGCTATCTAGCCCACCCCAACGATGCATAATTTATTGCAAGTGGTTGAGTGGACAAACCAAATATTTTTAGGCCTGGGACTTCCAGTCTATGGGCTGGCTATGCCTCTTCTTCTTCTTTTTTTTTTTTGCAATTCTTATCTGAGTAAATTAAAAAACAAATTTCATGTACTCTTGTTTCTAAATAGATCCTCTCATGATGGAAGTTAGTTTTAGGCCTAAATCACTTCCCAGAGGATACTTAGAGCTAAGATGTTAAAATGCAATAAATTTTGCATCTTTGCACCTTGGGTTCTGATGAGTCTTCACCGAGTCATCATCTTCCTTTAGTTTTTTATATGTATCTTCGATTTCTTCAGGACTCCATGTAGGGTCTTCATCACACTCAAACTCCTTATACGCGTCGTCCTGCATTTCCTGCTCATCTTCTGATTCATCCTCTAGCCCTAACTCTGTCTCATTTGTTGTCTCATTTGCTGGCCATGGATCAGTTTGAATAGCTTAAACAAATGGAATTAAAATTTTAACTATTATTAAATAATCAAATATTGATAAAATGTAATAAGAATATAAAGATAGGCCGTTATGCCTATATGACTCATCAACATCAATTATTGTTGACTCACCAGCATTCACCATCAGCGACTGCTTCGGCTCTTGTATGCTCTTAAAGGTTTCAACCCACTGATCTTGATTGGAGATTAACTTACTCTTCAGTCTTGTGACTTTGCCCCTTAACTGAGTCACCTCACTCCTCAGGGTTTTGCATGTTGTGCAATTCCCAGCATGTCTAGTTGGAGTATCCTACAAAAAACAAACTTTCAACATTAATACAGGCTGTAATAACAAGACTTTAGAATTTTTGTGTTTTAGTATTGTTGTAAAATAACTGCACATGTAGTTTTCCATTGTTATGATAATACAAAGATGCAAATAAACATTAATTAGAGTTATGCGCCTACCATAGAAACCTGTTCAAGTTCAGGAATCCTTAATGATTCATCAATCTGCATAACTTCATCCATATCCTGCACTTTTTCGATTCCCTGAGCCTCCAGGATCTGCATGGTCTCAGTAACCTCATCAGTGCCTGAAATCCCTTGGCTCTCGAGAGCTGTCTTATCACCAGGAGTACCTAGGACCTCTCAAGCCATCTCAGGATCAACACTTATCTCACCCGTCTCAGTCTCAGGGATGCAGCCCTCCTTTTCAGGATTTACCTCAAGCAAAGAACCCTGACTTGTATTCAGAACACCCTTGACTTCTGGAGACTCCTCAGGGTTGAGATTGGGAGCCCCCATAGTGTCAGCCCTCTCCTCAGGTGCAGAACTTCCTTTCAAAGAGATCACCTCTTCTTCAGGATTGTCTTCTTCCTCTGTATCCTCATTAGTAGTTTGACCAGCCAGCATTTCATTTAGTAGCTAAAAATGAAAGTAGGTACGACCATTTTTTTATATCTCCCCTTCAAAACAAGTTTAAATTTGAGCTTCATGTCGATGTTTTCAAAACTAGAAATGGAAGCAAGGTTAACCACATCTTTGCCTTAAAATGTATGCATCATTTGCAGACAGTGAAAATAGAATTAAAATACAAACGAAAAAAAAAACCCGCAAACAGTAACTGAACTTATAGAATGTAGAAATCAGACTAAGTCCATTTTTGGTCGTTTTAAAAGACTCTCCATACTGAAATTGTTGTTCAGTTTTATCCTTGGTCTAAATTTTATTTTCTTTTGTTTCAAACTCAATATCATACATTACCATACCCAAAAACCTACCTACCTTGGCAGCAACCAACCTTGGTTGTTGATTCTGGAGACTCTCTATTTTTAACTTCCCCCCTCTCCCCATTTGTCAACAGCCCCAATAACCCCACTACCGGTCGGAGAAATAAATCAAGTAAACAAGATCCTCGCGTTGCTTTGTGCTGCTCACTAGTGTTCATTTAAAAAAAATTGAAAAAAGAATTGAAAAAAATTTAAAACTTTGAAGAGGAATCTAGGCTAAATAGACAGTACATTGTAACTGTCTACCAATTTCATAACAAGAAACCGTAAAATTCTGAAAATAAGCCCCTCCAAATATAAGCCCCCCAAACCGGTCACGCAAAAAACCCTCCGTTAACTCGCCCCTCCAAATATAAGCCCCCTGGGGACTTGTACTTGGAAAATTGCCCTCAAATATGTAGTAAAACAAAGCAAAATGGTAGATTTATTCCCAGCTATAAGGCTAGCCCAATCGATTTTGAAACGCAAATTTCCCTCCGTAAATAAGCCCCTCAAAAAGGGTCTTTGAAAAATATAAGCCCCTGGGCTTATTTTCGGAATTTTACGGTATGCTTTGTTCTTCGTTCATGGACGAAATTACAGAAACTCATCAGTGACAAGTTCTGTTCAATTTCTACATTACAGATGTACCAGAGCAATTCTGAACTCAACTGATTGTGGTGTCTTTGTCTGTATGGTAGGTTTTGCTTTTTCATCACCTTTGCAATGAACATTATTGAATGGAAAGTCATTCATTATGCAATTCCATCAAAATAAATATGAACTTTTAAGTATTATCCATCAAAACAATTCTAATACATCACTACTGTCACTGATTAGTTTGCAGAGTACCTCAGCAGGGGGATAATGCCCAACTGTAAGCAGATATTAAAACATGGGCACCGGAAGACGATTTGAGATCTAGACTTTTCGGAACATTTGTTGTAAAATTTGTTGCTTGCCTGCCTCTCCTAGGATTTTCAAACATCTAAAAATGGAATAATTGCCCATTTTTCACGAATTTTCACCCTAACAAGGTCACCTAGAATTTTGGGGAACCTTTTTTCTGGCTGAAATTTTCGAAAATGTAAGTTTTGATCCCTATAATTGTCGGATCACTAGACTTTCAGCTAGGAAATCCGAACAGATGAAAAAATTTTAGGGGATAAAAATATGCCTACATCTACCGTTTAAACACTAAAATACGTTCAACAATGCTATGGTTAAGTGGTTTTGAACTATATTCGCGTTGGGTGCCCCTGTTAAAAGTTCAGACGCTAGACAATTTTCAAAAATAAAAACCACTCCCGTTTGGTTATCCTTGGATTTCAAATGTCAAACCAGAAAAAGGGTTTTGCACTTTCCCATCTGATTACAACAACAAGGACTAAATTAAACTATCTTTGTTCAGCTGTCCCCAGCTGGTAGGAAAAAGCCTTCAGAGGACAAGTATCTATTACAATGTAACAATAACAAGTGGCATGTCATGTAGTAATACATGCAAGCAACTGCTGACATAGTTTAGGGTGTCCTGCTAGGCGGTATTATTTCCTTAGATAATACAGGCCAAAAGGACAAGGCAGTTTTTACGAAAAAAAAAACCGTTTAGCAATAAAAAACCCAGATATGATATGCCTCCTAACAAATGTTGCTAAACTCAGGATGTCCCGCTGGAAGGTACCATTTTCTCCGGTAATACCGGCCAAAAGGACAGGGCCACTTTCATGAATAAAAATATTCCTATACAGTTATCCTAAGCTTTCTCGATCTAATCTCCAAGCAAGCGAGACTGAATGCCGCTCTGAGCGCGTTCTTGTCTTTAATCAAATCATGGCATGACGTTAAGGTGGCTCGATACAGTTTTTCAGGGCCAATACCTCTCAAGTTTGAGCATAAACTACGTCGCCATAAACAAAGTTTTGGAAAAATTGCCACCACAGTTGTATTAGATGAAGATGAAAATTTGTTATGATCAGTGTTGCAACGGCATCAGAGTGGGGGGGAGGGGACATGAAGCAAACCGAAGCCGCACGTCCAAGACGTCATCAATCTACAGAAACGATGCGCCAGAGTAATCCTAGACAGAAAATGAGACACCCCAGCGGGGCCTTTATTTAGAGACCTTAAGGTGGCTCGATACAGTTTTTCGGGGTCAATACCTCTCAAGTGTGAGCATAAACTACGTCGCCAAAAACAAAGTTTTGGAAAAAGTGCCACCACAGTTGTATTAGATAATGATGAAAATTTGTTATGATCAGTGTTGCAACGGCATCAGAGTTGTCATAGCAATAAAACGACGCTATTGCCTATTTTACTTGCAGCAGTATATCTCGGCACTGGGAACTGTTCTTCGAAAAGCATTCACGGGAGCTTTTTCCTCCAATAGCAGCCTCGATGTTCGTGAAGTTTAAGCGAACTCTGTAAG